TTTTAAAAGGTTTAGGTATTTGTTATGTAAAAGAAATGATTGGAGAAGTAAGTTGCCAGGTTTCTGCTTAAGTTTTCTGAGTGATATAATTGGAATTAAATTATTAATGGGAGATACTTTAAAAAAGATTGTTTTATGATCTTCTATTAGGGAATTTGCAATTCATTTTAATATTTGTAGTTTGATTTATATTAAAGATAATGCAATCTATGTCCAATTAACAATACATGGCCAATGTAATGTGATTTCCAGATCATGCAAATGGAATAAGCTAGAAGGGTGGGGGGGGGAGCTCAATTCTTAACCTCAGATGTAATTTGCTGTGTGAGTTCTGGCAATTTTAAATGACATTGCACTTTTTAATTTTTCCAAAGGCTCAGCAGCAAATTTATCCCAATCAAGAAAGCCTATTATTAATTTACAAGGACAATTGTAGGAGTCTTTATAATTTCTCTGTGCAATTATTCACCATAAATTGCTAATGGTAAAAAACAGGGAGTTCGCAAGAAATAACCACAATTATTTGTTTTGGGTTTGAATCCTCTTCTTCAATCTTAAACATCTTCCTGAAATGCTGGTGATACTGGCTCCATGTGAAACATCACATGAATCGTGAGATGCTGGACATTGGTGCTCTGAAAAAGGGGGCAGCACAAGAGATCTGCAAAGACAACACTGGCTTCTAGCAGATTCCTGCACTAGGCATGTACAGCTGAGCTATGGGCCCTGGACTTTCATATAAAGACTCTTTGTTCACCACTGAATGGCATTAGGCATGGACTTGCTGAGGGGCCACCATGAAGCCTCGCATGAGGAGGGCAAACACTAGCCAGAAAACACAATGCCAGAGTCGTAGACAGACACATCCCTGCATTTTTGTGCAAAAATGCATATTTTCACACAATTTTGCCAGTGGTTTGGTCTTTTGGAATATTCCTAGCATATGTTTTCTTGTTGATAGTTTAAAATACATTTTATTTTCTCAGTCCATCTTTCTGCTGTGGGTATATGTATGGAAAAGGGGATTATGCTGGATATACAGGTGTTTGTGTGTTACTTTGTACTGGGAAGGATATTCAAACTTGTTAGTCTAATAGCTAGATACTTTTTCTTGCTTTAAGTCTTCCTAACATAAAGTGATACGAAACCAGTTAAAATACGGTGTAAGATGTAAATTCTCAAATCCTGAAGACACATAATCTGACAGCTCTATTCTTATAATTGAGAAAATTCTTTGGTTAAATTCTTGTTTCTAGTAGCCAAAACTTCACTCTCGGCTCAGCAATGTCTGGTCTCTTTTCAGCATAACCAACAGAAGCACCATACAAAAGTCTTACAATGGATGTCTTAATCTCTCTGTGTGCTTTTAGAGCATTATTTTGAATTCCATCATGCTGCCTTTTTTCTTTCCTCTTCTGAAGTTTTATTACAACAGCGGAATTCCCAGGGAGCTTTGGGGGCAAGGTTCACATAATATAGCCCTGAAGTTTTGCTTAGGTGGAATCCATCCCCCAATCCTGGCTATCTTTTGATGATCTTTCTATTTCAAAAGGATTCACTGGGTAGAGTCTTACAGCATTAGCTGTATGTCGTTTATTTTTTATTTTTTTATTTACTAGGTGTGAGCATCTACAACCCTTTCATGATGCTTTCTTTCTCTGACCTCACAGTGACAAGGCATCTTGTTCTTTAACATTGAGGGAGGCAGAAAAATGCTTGAGTTGCTCAATGTGTGCCTTCTATACCAGTTTCAAAATGGCTTATTCTTCTGGTTTCCATGGTGACAATTAACACTGTTTCAAGGCATTGTTCCAATCTCCATTTGGGCAGAATTTTCGGTGTGATTTTTAACAACAACAACAAAAAAAGGTTTTAGAAGGGAAAAAAGCCTTTAGCATAACTGTCAAAAAAGTTATCTCAATCAAGTCTTCATGCATTTCTAATGATATTTACTTCAGAAATCCCTGTTTTTGGTAACTTTGCTTTATAATTCAATTTTTATATTTGTGATTTTAAAAAGTAATCACTGAATAATAATCTCCCCAAAACTTCTTTAATTCTTAGATAAAGCAGTGAGCTAGTATTTGTGGTTATTTTTAACTCTTTTACATTTTCTTTATAAGTTTTTATATACCATGGAGTGGCATTTAGATCAGGAATGGCCTGTGTCTTTAATTTAGACCATTCACATATCTATTAGGAAGCTTCATTAGTCAAAATTGAATTGGCCAAGTAAATACACTTAATAATGTAAATATGCCCTTTCAATAGAGTATATTTTATTTTTGACTAGACAGAATGGTCCACAGCAGGTGCTGTGGGGAAATTAAATACTGGATGCTTATTTACCTTAGCACTCAACAAAAGTCATCTGACTTTAACTTTGCTAATCTCATTTTTGGCTATTGAAGAGTAGTCTATATCATAATATCCCCAGACTGCAGGACACAATGAGGCAGCCTCTGTTCACTTACTCCTTTGGGTGGAATGAATATGAAGATTAAATTATTTTCTCCCACAGGATAAAGTACCCCTTCTGAATAGGATGGCCAAGAACTGATAGAAGTGGTAGTCGATCCTCCATGTTTAATGCTTGTGAAAAGATGTTGAAGAGAAGAACAAAAACTAGTATCAACAAAAAATATGACCTTCTTGGCATTTTTACACATGTAACTTGAAGCCCTAAATTATATCATATTCAACTTTCAAAGTGCTTTGAAAATTAAAATAAATATTTTCACCTTAAATTACATGACATTCTACCTCCTTTTATGCACACACCAAAACATCTAACAATTAGTTGTGTTCCCTCAGTTTTTATAGTTTGAAAGTGCTGTCTTATAAATCACATCTTTCACCAAGCTATGTAATATACTAGGTTATATGGTGATAATGACAGCATACATAGGGACAAGATTTTTTAAATGTTAATAACCTCTTATAATAACTATTTTACCACATTTTGCAGACAAAATTATTTTATTATGTCTAAAATTAAATTAATTGCTTTCTATGTTTTTATTATTACAAGACTAGTTTTAGTCTATCAAGACTATCGTTTTTATGGAATACATCTAAACTGATTTCCCTCTGACTGATCTGCAGGGTAGGCGTTATTCTAAGTTGGGTAAAGAAGGGGTGATGAGCTTGTTATTTGTGAAGGTAATAACTGGTCCAGGCTGCTCCCAGTTAGGTGGACTCTATTGCAAAAGCATTCTTTTGCCTGTCTCAAATACTGGTTCCCCCAATATTGTGTCACAGAAGTCTTACTGAATTAATTATGTAAATCTTTGTCAACTACATCATCTTTAGATGGGAATCTGATTACACAAAGCAGATTGCCCTCTCCTCCAATCATCACTCTGACAAATAAAATACCATCTAGGTTTTATTGTTGAATGTCGAGTCCAGAAAACTCAAGTGAACAGTGTTTTCTATGTCTTGGAGTAATGTGGTCCTGGGAAGTGCCTGCAATTGGAAAATGCAATCAGAATTTCCCATGTATCGCAGGCCAAATTCTGAAAGAGCTCTAAAGCAACCCTTGATTTTTTTTCATTATGCATATTCATGTAATTTTGGATACTCTGACACCCTGATCAACATTCATTAATACTATGAAATGCTTTAAATCACCTCATTTAAAACATTTTGTTCTGTGATCCACAAATGACTAACATTTGGAGAAGTTTACATAATACAAATGATGTGCATGTTTAGTGTAAATGAAAGATTAAAATATGAAACTTAAAGTATGCAAACATATGCACGCAAATGCTGAAGATCTATTAACCGAAACAGGGATTTCACACTTTCTTTTCATCTAAGCTGCCTTCCAATTGTATTTTAGTCTGGGTTCTTATATAATATCAGGTTTTCAGGATGAATAAAATCACCCAAGTGCTTGGGCTTATTTTGAACTTGTTGATTTGCTACTGTGCCCAGACTAAAGCTTTTGTTGTTAGATTTAATAAGCTGCTCATGTTAGCTCAAATAGGTCAATGGAGCAATGCTACCATGGATCTCTGACCTAACTTCATGCCTCAAAGAAAGACATTTTAGTATTATTATATTTTGGAAATGTAATAAAAATGTAAAATAGGCTTAATATTTTAACCAGAATCTTGTCTTTTCTACTCAGAGGTGTTTATGTGTATATTTTAAAATATAACCATAGGCTTTTATAGCTGTCCATAATATAGGATTTTCTAACTATAAAGTTATCCATATTTGATGAGAATCACCATAGTTATTATCATATTAAATAGCTCTTGCGTTATCTCTAGCACAATATATTTCGAGAGAGACTTGCTTGGCAGTTTGTTAGAAGAGTGTATATTGGGTATATTGGGGGAGAAGTTTCTATAATCAATTGTGATATTTGGGAACATTTTACAGTATCAATAAAGAAGCATAGATTTGTAACTATTCCCAAAGCACTGGTTTTCTTTTTTCTTTCTTCATGTGCCTCTACTTTTAGGCCATACTCGGTTTTTAATTAAAAGAAAAATGAAAAATAATGTTAATTAACAATTCAGGGAAGTTAGAGGATAAGGAGGAAATCATAAGATCTTGAGGGAATATTTTATTTGTAGCACTCTGATACTGGTCTTTTTGGGGTGCAAAGGTGAGATGTGGGCAGCACTGTGAAGACAAATGTTGATCATAATTTACAGTAACATTAAATCCCCCTAGACCAGGTATTTTCCTCTTTGGAATATTTTAAATTAAAGATCAAATGTGTGTGTAAACTTTCATTTAAAAAGACATAAATCTTAGTCACCTAAGTGGAATGCTGTTGATATTTGTATGTATATAATACATATTTTTAACTGTTTTAAATAATATTCCTTAACTATTCAAGTACGTAGGTTTAGGCTCCCCATCAATTTTGTTGGGTACAAAAACTTTTAATATCCATGAGAATCATGAACTCTGTGCTCAAAGATTTTCTAAGAATACCTGCCTCCCCAATAATCTGTCTTTCTCTCTTCTTGTTTTAGCGATACAGTGTGGAAATGTCCATCAGGGACCTGAAAAAGACGGAGCTACTTAGTAAGGTTGAAGCTTTGAAGAAAGGTGGCGTTTTACTACCAAATGATCTTCTTGAAAAAGTGGATTCAATTAATGAAAAATGGGAACTGCTTGGGGTATTTGCATTTTTATTACTGTTTGTAGGTTATGTGTACATTTTTTGTGTAGTGAAGTATTCTATCTGTCTGATTTCTAATTTGAGGCACAAATATCTCTCTCTTTCAATTCACTACCAACATTTCAAACAAGCTATTCATGTATTATTGGGTGGGGAGAAACACTGCTTTTCCTCGTCTGTTGATTTTCTTTTTTTTTACTCTGAGCTTGTCTCCTCTCAGATTTTAATAATTTTGGTTCTTTAATACATAAAAAGTAAGTAAAATATGCCATGTATTATGGGTATGCACCAAGTCAACTATAATACAGTATATCTGATATACACTGACTGTCATGCTTGAATGACTGTTAATAGAATTTATTCTGAAGGTACATGTTAGAGACATCCACTGTTTAACTATTTACTGTACTCTTCAGATGAAAAGTGGACTTGTCACCACAGCTTTCAAGTCACACTTAAGGCACCAAAACAAAGATGCAAATTTGACCCAAATCTGAATTGCAGAATTAAATCAGCCTCTGTTTTGTGCCTCAATTTCCAGCTCACTTTTAACAAAGCCAAAAAAAAAAAGTTTCATGTAATTCATTTCACGCAATGATGGGCTGGGTCTCAGCCAAAGACTGAGATGCAAGAATCTGGCAAAAAGGCAATATAGAGATTCTGTTACCCAGAGACCAGGATGGCACTGTGCAGGAGACAGTACTGTCCTTTTTGTTGGAAGACAGCTGAGAGAGAGAGAGGTTAAATGGTATTTTTTCATCAACTTCTCTCCTAAATTGCCTTCACTTCAAATCAAGGGTAAGCTAAATTTGTCAATTACTTAAATGATTAATTATAACAGCTAAGTATGGGTGGTGTCAGTTATGGAGCATAATTTTGCATGCCTTCCATTTCCTGTCTTTTTTTTTCATTTTTAAAGAAATAATACTCCAAAAATATTTTGAATAAAAAGCTCTCCATGTACCTTGATGACTTGGAGGAATGCCAGTGTTTAGTTTATGCCATGCTTAATCTAGGTGATTAAAAAACTGCAAGTTTAAATCTTTGCTTTCTCATCTAAATTCACTACACTCTACAATTCTGTAAAGTAACAGACATGCTAAAAGTTTTTACGCTAACCTATTGTTACATAACTTTTTGTTATTGTTACATTGCATGGTAGTAATTATTGGCTTTCACTTTATGATATGGTGATTTAAATCAGAACGTACTAAATTTTTTAGATTCATTGAGCTCATAGAAGTAGAAAAGTAGTTAATGTTTGATATTTTAAGATTGTTTATTAAATAGATAAGAATAGCTATTTTATGTACTGGATAGATAAAGCAATTGTTTGTTTATGTTGTATTTAATATGTCTATTTCTAATTTGACAAATAACTAAAAATTGCCTTTTTAAAAAAATTGAGGTATGTCATGTATATTGCTTCCTCAACAAAAATGTGAAATCAACATAACATTTTTTTAAAGAACAGACCATTTAGCTATTCTTTATGAGTCAGTTACTTTAAAAATGGTTGCCATTTTGAAAAAAATATCTTTTGAGTACAATATGCAGATTTTTATAATGATTTGGGGAGAGCAGGGTGGAGGAAAGATTTTAACAAAACCTGTGCCTCACTAACACCACCAGGCATACTGCTTTAATTGGCATGATTACATTTTAATTGGCATAAAAAAATTTAAAGACAACAATTTTAACTTCTAACAATAGTAAAATAGAGGGATATGGTTTTTAATATTACTTTCATCTAAGGTGAACAGTGTGGAATGGAAATACATTAGAATGAAATGTCAGTGGTGCGTACAGTTTAATCTGTGAAATTTTGTCCCCTGTGCTGCATATTACTCTGTCTCAATTGCATATTAAACAACCCTATCAAGGCAGGCATTGGCATCTGCTGTGCTGACACAAATTGTGAATTAAATGAAATTGATGTCCTCTGTCGTATATTTATGAAGACGGACCATTCTCTGAAGTATTCTGTTTATGAAGAATTTATGATTGCAAACTGTTCCAGAACAAAAAAGTGGCAATAAATTCTTTTTTGTGACCCTACCCTCCAAGGGCATTGATTTCACCTCCTGCTGCTACTTTTGTTATAGCATAAAAACAATGGCTAAATCTGGATTCCACCGAGGGTCTTCAAATTATCAATATTTGCACCATGAAAATACAAAGGTGTTGCCAAGAACGGCTATTTTTCTCTCATGATCTCCTAAAGATACTGTTTACAGAACACTACACAGCAGATGAATGTTTGTTGACTTAATTTTATTTGTGTTTTAAAACTTGCTTTTTTGCAGATTTAATTCATCATTATAGATTAACTCCTATTGATTCTCCAAAGACAGTGCTTTCCAATAAAAAAGAAAAAAAAGCAACAAAATATCCTCCCTGACTATATTATCATGCCATAGTGGTTAACCTAAGACTTCTAGTGTAGTGAATTGGTACTTACTTTTGCACATATATTAGAAAATCTAGCATCCCCAAATGCTAAGCAGAAAGAATTGTGGGACTGAATAATTTCCAACTCAGGTAAAATCAACAATAGCACCAAGAAGGCTACCCCTTCTTAATAGCCCTTGATCAAATGTTTAGAAGAATTGTACTTCAAAAAAACAAAATAAGTAATTTAATCCTCCATGTACAATCTACTTTTGGTCTCTTTAATATATTGATTAAACTCAGACTTAAACTCAGCTTCTAAAGATTTTATGTAGAGAATTCTTTACTGTAAACTGTCACAAGAATTCAAATGCATTTTTATCAGTGGATACTGTGAACTTCTGGGTCAAATTTCCTTTCTGTTAAAGGAAAGTGTAAATGAACAAGGTCCTCTTAAGCCTCTAGTGGTAGTCAGAACCTCACACATAGCTCAAGAATCCTAAGAGGAACAATAGGCTAATCTGAACCGAATGTCAGTAGTAAGGTGATGAGAGCAGCTGGATACCTTTCCAGGTGGCTCTTGTTACCAGCCAAACTGATGTTTTTGGTACATAAACTAATCTACGTTTTTTTTATTGTGTGTGTGTATGTGTGTGTGTGTGATGTTTTTGTTTTTGTTTTAATCTAATGCATTAGAAAACCCTAGGAGAGAAGATCCAGGACACAATGGCAGGGCACAGTGGGTCAGGCCCACGTGACCTTCTCTCTCCTGAAAGCGGAAGCCTGGTAAGGCAGCTGGAGGTCAGGATCAAAGAACTGAAAGGGTGGCTAAGAGATACAGAGCTTTTCATCTTCAATTCCTGTCTGAGACAAGAAAAGGAAGGAACAATGAATGCTGAGAAACAACTGCAATACTTTAAGGTAATAAAAAAACAATCAAAGTTGATAAAAAGCTTTCTTTATGGTAGGGATGAAATATTTATCAAGTACATAAAATATTATACCCATGTATCTGTGTATCACTGTGCACTTAAATGTTTCCTTGAATTTATAGGCACCCTCCACATTTCTTATATGCCAGTGTCTGTGTGTGTATAAAGACGAACATTAAGCATATCAAATACACATTGTGTATGGGAAATCTCTGCTGCTTGTGTGTGAAATTCCTCTTGAGGGAGGGCTTTGATAAATTAAAAGCAGGTCAGCAAACACTGAAGATTACTGAGAACTTTGAAAAACAGATCTAAATGTTCTATAAATAATGTGCCTAAAAATACTTCCATAAAGTGATATGATAAAAGCACATAATTTAATTGAAGACCATTAAGTGCTAACAAAAAGAAACATAATTGTTACATATGAAAGAATCAACTATTCATGGAGAGAAGAAATAAAGTAAAAGAGGTTCTTACATTACAGGTCTATTCCATTCTAGGAAAATACCAACCCTAGATAACTATGTATATATTCACTACATGTCCATGAAGAAGAATTTCCCCTTGTTTGTTCCCATAGTTTATAAATACCTGTTCAAAGAAGTTAACAATTGAAATGTTTTCTCTTGTTGCCCTCACCATTGTGTACTGTGTAGGGTAAGGAAAAATGTCAGGCTTTTCTGCCCTCCCGCCATCAGGCATAGATGATGGATCCTGGATCCGTTAGGTCCTGAATGCATGCCTGATGGCAGGCACCTGGAATAGGGTGTGGGCATAGGTAGATGGGATTCACCTGGGTTAAGACCGTGATTTTTTTTTTAAAGGGCGGTGTCACAGGGACGCCAGGAGAAGCCGAAAGAGAAGCCGAGAGAGAAGCAAAGAAGCAGAAGCAGAGATCACTGGAAAGCCCAGAAAGAGTGAGGATTTGCTAAGGGCTGGGAGGACTGCCAGCTTCCCGTCCCCCCAGCACCCTTGCCTGCTGTGTACCGGGTAAATCCCAATAAAAGACCTGCAAAAACCACAGAGGACTCTGACTCCTCCTTTACCTGGTCTGCTGGATCATAGAAAACCTGCACTGTGGTCTTCCTGACCCTACAACTGCTTGAACTCTCTTGTAAATGCAGTGATTATCTGGGCTGTGGTTTTCTCAGCCTGGGGCAGTAAAATATGAATTCAGTGGCAAGAAATTGCCATGAAAGGTCTTAAAGAGGAGAAAGGAGAAACTAAGATGGAAAAAACTTCTTGGAACCAAGCAACTGTTTCTAATCGAAGCATTCCAGGACCAGGTGTGATTCATTCCATCCCCTCTGAACTGCCATCTTCCAACAATCTATCAGAGGATTTAGTCTCTTGTGGTTCACCTTCTGCCAGACAGGCAAGCTCACCTTGCTTACCTCCATAGTCCAGGAAGAGGCACCCTTAAAACTAAGACCACAGTATTTTTCAATAAACTATCACTATTACAACCTGTAAAGGCAGGAAGGATCAATGAGCAGGTTTTCTGACCCCATGCAGACCAGGTAAAGGAGGAGTCAGAGTACTCAGTGGTTTTGCAGGTCTTTTTATTGGGATTTACCCGGTACACTCAGGTAAGGGTGCTGGGGGGCCGGGAGGCTGGCAGGCCTCCTAGCCCACAGCAAGTCTTCATTCTATCTGGGCTCTCCGGCCTTGTCTCAGCTTCTGCTTCTCTTGCTTCTCTCTCGGCTTCTCTTTTGGCTTCTGCTGGCGTCCCTGTGATGCCGCCCTTAAAAGCACAGTCTTAGCCCAGGTGAATCCCATCTACCTATGCCCACACCCTATTCCAGGTGCCCGCCATCAGGCATGCATTCAGGACAGCAAGGATCCATCATCTATGCCTGATGGCGGGAGGGCAGAAAAGCCTGACATTTTTCCTTACCCTACACAACCTTACAAATTGTTTCGATTAAAGAATCTGCTTTTCTGCATTGAACTGAAAGATCAAACTGCAAGTTACATGAAAGTGTCTTGCTAAGGAAAATGTTTGCCATCTAAAATCTAACATCTAGATGACTTGTACGTTGTTCTATTCTCACTCTAACCCTCATTGCAGGGAGATGGAGTCTTCAGTTATTTCTCTCTGTGTTATTTGAAATTAACTCAAACCTTACAAAGCATTCTGATCATTGGTAGGTAGATGTTGTGATTTTTTTTTTCTGTATTGTATTAATATTACAGCTTTAGAAATGTGGTAAACAGCCTAGTTGTGTGACCTTGCTCATATGTCTTCTGTGATCCCTTAGTGCCTCAGTCCTTCATCCATAAAATGAGATACTATTAGTATTTATCTCACAGGGTTATAAATTCATATAAATAAATTATTATTTCTAATTTTTATGGTGGCACATTCATAAAAAATAGAAATCTCTTAAATTATAAACCCAAAGATGTTACATAATAATTGGAAATAATAGGAAGTTTGCTATTGCAATTATTTGTATATCCTCTTAGCTACATATATCTTACATGTAGATTTTTTTAATTGCACTTTTTTTATTGAGAAAACATTGATTTACAACAATGTGTATGATCTGTAGGTATGGGTTCCCACCTCTTCAGATGTTTGTCACCACACTATCATCAACTAACAACATACCCATAATTTTCTACCATAGTCCATTGGACCCACTCATTTCTATTTTCTTCTTTCCATTCTGGTAGCCTTAATTTTGCAGTCATAATTCTAGGGTTTGGCTCAATTTTGTCCTTTTGCTGTTTATTTCTATCCCCCATATAAGTGAAAACATCTGATATTTGTCATTTTCCTTCTAATTTACTTTGCTTAGCCTAATCTCCTCCAGTTTCATCCATGATGTCACAAATGGCAATATTGCATCTTTTTTTTTTTTTAGCTTAGTATTCCATTGTGTATATACACTACATTTCCTTAATCTCATATGTCACTGGGTACTTCACTAGTTTTCTTACCTGGCTATTGTAACTAGAGTGGGAAATAAGAGTGCACGTGTCCCTTCAAATTTATGCTTTTGCATTATTTGGGTAGATGCATAGGAGTGGAATGGATGGAACATATTGTAAATCTATTTTTAATATTTTGAGAAACACCCATGCTGCTTTCCATATAGGTTGTACCAGTTTGCATTTCTACTAACAGTGTACAAGGGCTCCCTTTTCTTCACACTCTCTCCAATACTTGCTTCTGGACTTTTTGATATGGATGGTTCTGATAGGTAAGATAGTATCTCATTGTGGTTTTGATTTGCAGCTCTGTGATGATAAATGATAATGAGCAGTTTTAACATACATGTTGACCATTGGCATATTTTCTTTGGAAAAGTGTCTATTCAGGTCTTCTGCCCATTTTTGATTGGATTGTATGTTTTTGTTGTTGAATTGTGTGAGTTCTTTATAGATCTTTGGTATTAGCCCCTTGTCAAATGTATGATGTGCAAATATTTCCTCCCATTTATTAGGGTGCTATTTTGTTTTAATGACCATTTCTTTCACTGTGCAGAAGGTTTTGCATTTGATATAATTCCATTTATTTATATTCCCTTTTGTTTCTCTTGCTATTGTAGATAAATCCACAAAGATATCATTGAAGTCAATGTCCAAATGTTTTGCCTGTTTTCTTCAATGTATTTCATGGTTTCAGTACTTACAACCATGTATTTAATCTACTTTGAGTTATCTTTTGTGTAAAATGTAAAATGGTGACTTACTTTCATCCTTTTGTATGTGACTCTCTAGTTCTTCCAATATCATTTGTTGAAGAGACTTTCCTTTCTCCATTGTTATTCCTGGCTCCTTTGTCATAGATTAACTGTCCATTAAACTGTGGGTTTATTTCTGGGGTATTCAATTCTATTCCTTTGATCTGTTTGTCTATTTTGTCCCGCTACCATACTGTTTTGATTGCTACAGATTTATAGTGTAGTTTGCAGTCTGGCAGTATTATAGAAGCACTCTTTTTTGACAGGATTTCTTTGGTTATCTGGGGTATTTTGTCATTTCATATAATTTTAGAAATGTTTGTTTAATTTCTTTAAAGAATGCCATTGAACCATTGATAAAGACTGCATTGAATTATATATTGCTTGGGTAAGATAGCCAAGTGAACAATGTTATTTCTTACAATCCATGAGCAGGGCATATCTTTCCCTTTTGTTGTGTCTTCCATATTTCTTTTAATAGTCTTATGGGCCAACTAGTCATTCTGTGCCTCTTTTTTAAGATTTATTTATTTATGCATACAAGAGCTGGGGTACAGGCTAGAGGTGCAGGGGGTGAGTGGACTCACCAGAGACAGAGTGGGGAACAGAACAGGCAGATTGACTGAAATACACTGCTGAGGGGAGCAGCGGGCGAGTCAGGAGAGGTCTGCTGCACCATGTGGGTTGCTCCCTGGCCAGCTGGGGATCGAACTGGTATTGCAGAGGCTTCAGATTGCTTCTTAGTGCAGTGCTTAACCCCTTGTGCCACTGGGGAGGCCCCATTCTGATTGATTGAAGCTTCTTGATTGATGAGTTTAGTCCATTTACAATAAAGGTGAATTAATATGTGAAGGATTGCTACTGCCATTTTGCCTTTAGTTTTCTGAACTAGTTTCTATTTCCTTATTCAATTCTTTGTATACTTTCTTCTATTTGATTTAGATAGGAGAGTTCCTTTCAATATTTCTTATAGTGGGGGAGGTTCTAGTATTGACAAACTCTTTGAGTTTTTGTTTGTCTGGGAAGGGCTGTATTTCTCCATTACATCTGAAGGACTCTTGGAGGATATAATCTTGGCTGGCAGTTTTTATCTTTGAATATTTTGAGTATGTCATTCCAGTTTCTCCTTTCCTGCAGAGTTTCTGCTAGAAGGTGTGAATACCTTTATGAGTTAACTGCTTCCCGCCCCCATCTTCTGTCAATATTCTTTTTTTGCACCCTGTACTCTTGTACCAAGATACTTATAAGTGTCTGGGTGTAGGTCATTGCATTTAGATGTTCTTCTAACCTATGA